TCCAACTTCTTGGATTATTTGTTCAGCATATAGATTGAATAAGTATAGTGAAAGAATACAATCATGGCTCATGACTTTCCTAATTTTAAACCATTCAATGTTCCCATGTTCTGTTCTAACAACTGCCTCTAGGTCTATGGACAGGTTCCTCATGAGCACAATTCAGTGTTTTAGAATACTCATACTTTGCAATGTTGTCCATAGCTGTCATGATCCACACAATCAAAGGCCTTTAAATAGTCAATAAAGCACAGGTAAACATCTTTCTGGTATTCTCTGCTTTCAGCTCATGCACAATTGCCACCTGTCTGCCACTGAGAGCTGGCGATGCTTATCTGACATCAGCAATGATATATATCCCTCATTCCACATCCTCTTCTGAAACTAGCTTGAACCTCTGACTGTCAATATATGGTTGTGTCATTTCTGTATTATCTTTAGTAACACTTTACTCTCATGGGATAGCAATGATATTGTCTGGTGATTTCCACATTCCATTGGGTCACCTCTCTTTGCTCTTTGGAATGGGCACAAATACAGAGCTCTTCCAGTCAGTTGGCCATTGTCTTCCAAATTTCTTGGCATAGATAAATGAGTGCCTCCAGTGCCACATCAGTTTGTTGAAAGAGTTCGATTTTTATTCCACCAATTCCCAGTACCTTGTTCTTTGCCATGAGTTCAGTGCACCTTGGACTTCTTCCTTCAGGATCATTGGCTCTTGATCATATGCTACCTGTTGAAATGGATGAACAGCTACCATTTCTTTTTGGTACACTGATTCTGTGTATTCTTTCCATCTAATTTTGATGCTTTCTCATCATTCAGTATTTTGCCCACAGAAAACTTCAATACCCCAAACCAAGGTTTGAATTTTTGCTTCAGTTCCCCCAGCAGCTTGAGAAATGCTGAGCGTGTTCATCCCTTTTGGTTTTCTAACTCCAGGTCTTTGCACATTTTGTTGTAATATTTGACTTTGTCTTCTTGAGCTGACTTTTGAAATTTTCTGTTCAGATCTTGTACATCCTCACTTCTTCCATTTGCTTTAACATCTCTACACCGGAGAGCAAGTTTCAGAGTCTCTTCTGACATTCATTTTGACCTTTTCCTTCTCTCTTATCTTCTCAATGACCTTTTGCTTTCTTCCTGTATGATGTTCTTGATGTCATCATACAACTCTTCTGGGTCTTTGGTCTTTAGTGTCTAATACATCAAACCTGTTCTTTGAATTATCTCTAAATTCAGGTGGG